AAAAAAAAAAAAAAGACATCCTTACAATATTGAGTCTTCCAATCATTTCATTATATATTTCTGTCTATTTAGAACTTTCATTTTCTCAATTTTTTAATTTTTGTGCGGCGTTTCAATGTCATTTGTTAGATATAGTCCTGGATACTTGATTTTTAAAATACAATTATAAATAGTCCCTGTAACATTTCATTTTCTGTTTGTTGCTGGCATTTAGAAATACAATTGATTTTGAATCCAGTAAACTAGCTAAATTTATTCTACACACATAGCCATCTCATTTGTGAATAATGAGTTTTGTGTCTCCCTTTTCAAGGTGTGTATTTTTTCATCTTTATTGCCTTAATGCAGTGCTTAAGACATCCAGTACGTTGTTAAATACAAGTGGTAAAAGTAGCAGCATCCCTGATCTCTGACTTAGTTTCTGTATTCTAAAGTTTTTCTATCCTTCACCATCACGTACGATGTTTGGTATAGGTTTCCTGTAGTTACATTTTATCAGATTAAGAAAGTGTTGTTTTATTCCTAATTTGCCTATTCTTCTTTTTATCATGGATGCATGTTGGACTCTATCAACTACTTCTACATATACTGATATGATCATCTGGTTTTTTTTCTTCTTTAATCTCTTAATGGGGTAAATGGCATTGGTTGAATTTCCTAATGTTAAGCCAATCTCAGAACAATGGTTTTCAACTTGACTGATCATCAGAACCACACAAAAAGTCATTTAAAAATTTTTTAAATTTCAATTGTGGTTGGGTGGCTCAGTCAGTTAGGCATCACCTTTGGCTCAGGTCATGATCTCAGGGTCCTGGGATCGAGCCCTGCGTCGGGCTCCTTGCTCAGCGGGGAGCCTGCTTCTCCCTCTCCCTCTGCCCCTCCCCCCCATGTGTGCTATCTCTCGAATAAATTTAAAAAAATCTTTTAAAAAAAGTTTAAATCGTGGCAAATATTTAAGAAGTCTGTGAATATAGAAAAATGCCAAGACTAATAGAACACCTGTGTCTTTATTTTTTCTTTTTGTTTCATATTTTAATAAAATGAAAGAAGTAAAACAATACACAGATAAAGTTGATATCCCCTTTCTTCCTGTCTACAATTTTGTTCCCTTCTCTAAGGAGATTCCCCCATCTCAATAATTTGCATATTTATTTTTTTAAGCTTAATGACATCTAAAAAGTTGGTAGTATGTGCACATGGTACAAAATTCAAAAGTAACAAAAGTTAATCCCTCCACTTCTGCTTCCAGCTACTGATTTCCCCTTCCTAGAGGCAACCACAGTATGATTTTTATGTGTCCTTTTAGAGATATCCAACATATATATAAATGTAGATGTGTCCTTAGTCTTTTTCCTCCTGCACCCAGTAGTAGCCTGCTCTTCAGACTGTTCTTATTCAACTGCATCCATTTAACTAGATGCATTGGAGATAGTTCGGTTTCAGTGCAAAGAGTTCAACCTTGCGTAGTGTCCTGTTATATTGATATATGATATTTTATGTAGCTGGTCTCCTATTGATGGCTATGCATTCATGCAGTGTCTACTCTTTTGCTGTTGCAAACGATGCTGCAATGAATAATCTCATGTATTATCTTTGTAAACATGTGAAGTGGGATTGCTACTATAAAGTTCTGATAGATAATGCCAAATTGTCTCCACAAGTGTTTACTAATTTCTGTTCTTACTAAAAATATAAGTGCCAGTTTCACCCACATTCTTGTCAATACGTTTTCAAATGTTTTGATCTTTATCACTCTAAAAGTTAAAAAATTATATCTCATTGTAGTTTTATTTCACATTTAGTTTATTAAGAGTGAGATTGACGGCCGCCTGGATGGCTGAGTCGGTTGAGCTTTGGACTGTTGGTCTGACTCTTGGTTTCAGCTCAGGTCATGATCTCAGGGTGCTGGGAGGGAGCCCACCCTGCCCCTCCTCCTGCTTGCACTCTCTCTCTCTAAAATAAATGAATAAAATCTTAAAAAAAAAAAAAAAAAGAATGAGGGGCTCCTGGGTGGCTCAGTTGGTTAAACAGCTGCCTTCGGCTCAGGTCATGATCCCAGGGTCCTGGGATCAAGCCCCTCATCAGGCACCCTGCTTGATGGGCAGCCTGATTCTCCCTCTCCACCGCTTGTGCTCTCTTTCAAATACATAAATAAAATCTTAAAAAAAAAAAAAAAAAGAATGAGATTGAATGTCTCTTTATGTGTTTAAAGGCCATTTGAGTTTGAGCTTTGTCTTTTGCCCATTTTTCTATAGGATTATGAATTTCTAACTGATGTGGAAGAGCTTCATGCACATAAGGAAATTAGCTCCTTACCTGTGATATATATCTGAAATATATTTTCTCAGTGTGTTGCTTTTCTTATGATTTTGTTTTTTACTCTACTGATTTTATTTTTCTGAAGTTTTTTTTTTTTTTTGAGATTTTATTTATTTATTTGACAGAGAGAATGAGAGAGAGAGCACATGAGAGGGGGGAGGGTCAGAGGGAGAAGCAGACTCCCTGCCAAGCAGGGAGCCCAATGCGGGACTCGATCCAGGGACTTCAGGATCATGACCCGAGCCGAAGGCAGTCGCTTAACCAACTGAGCCACCCAGGCACCCTTTCTGAAGTCTTTTAAAATCTTTTATAGCTTCTGAGTTTTGTGTCATACTTCAAAAAGCCCTCTCTACTTCAAGATTTTAAAAACCATTTCCCATCTTTTCCTCTGGTACTTTAATTTTTAAAACTCATGTAGTCATTTTGATTCATCTGGAAATTATTTTTATGTAAGAAATGGGGTAAGGATCCAAAGTTTTTTTCCCTAGGTAGTTCTTCAATGGTCTTTTAAGATTTCTTTAATAATCTCTTTTCCTTAGGGAGTTTATTTTTCAGGTACAAAACAGTATTTAAAATGAGAAAAAAAAGCAACAAAATTCCACATTTTTAGAAGTTGATTACTACAAATATCACAAAATGCTGAAAAATAACACAGTATTTTTATTAATCAACTGCTTGCTGCTCCTCTAGAATACATTTTACTCCAGTGAGATCCCCCATTTAAAATATATTGTTCAGTAAACATCAGTAACATTCACTTTTTCTTTGTTGTACAGCTTCTATGACTTTAGACAAACACATAGTTATGTAAGCAGCCACTACACTCAAGATAGTGACAATCCCATCAGACCCAAATAGTCCCTCGTGCTGCCCCTTTGTAGGCAAATTCTCCTCCTACCCAACTCCTGATAACCACTGCTGTGTTCTCCATCCATACCCACTTGGTCAGAATTTCTCAGAGTGGGTTTCTCCATCTAGAATGATAAGGGTCCCCAGGTGATTCCGATTTGAATCGGGTCTGGGAACAGTTAACTGAGGACATTGCTTCCTTTTTTTTTTTTTTTAAGATTTTATTCATTTTATTTGTTGGTGTGGGGGGGAGGAGAGCACAAGCAGGGGAAGCGGCAGGCAGAGGGAGAGGGAGAAGCAGGCTCCCTGCTGAGCATGGAGCCCGATGCAGGGCTCGATTCCAGGACTCTGGGATCATCACCTGAGCCAAAGGCAGATGCCCAACTGACTGAACCACCCAGGTGTCCCAGGACATTGCTTCTTGACAGGAACTTGCTCTGTGCCCCAGGAATAGGCTCTGTGGTAGTGGGAGCTGTGAGTGATCAGAGATCTCAGATGAGTAATAACAGCTAATATTTCCTGAGTGCCTACTATCTGACAGGTACCATGCTAAACAGATTCAATGCATTATCTAACTCTTCACAACATTTCCATGAGGTAAATCTATTATCCCCATTTCACAGATGAGGAAACTGAGGCTAGAGATAAATTTGCCCAAGATCACACAGCCGGGAAATGGTAGAGCCAAGGCTTGGACCCAGGGAGGCTAAATGCAGTTTCCATGCCCCGTATCCCTCTACCGTATTACCTCCCTCCCAAAAAGAGCAGGTACCTGCCCCCACTGCCCACAGCCTGGCAGTGTGGCAGTCACCCAATTTGGTCTCACGTCCTTAGAAGCTTCTCCTAACACAACTTCTTGTGTGGGCAACAGGTGTTCCTGAAGCAGGGATGACTCGGGAGGGGCAAAGGGGGGGGCAGATTGCTGAGTGGGCCCAGCCACTGGGGAGCAGGGTAGAGGCCTGGGTTGGGCCAGGGGTGCCGGGAGACCTCTACCTGTTTCTGCCTTGCTGACAACACGTTTCCTCCCTCTGCACTGGACAGAGCCTCCTCTGTTTCTCTCCATCTGATTTCCTGTTTCCTCCTCTGGCTCTGGAGTACCTGACTCCCCTGACTACCTCTTCTTAAGCTCCCACCTGTACTCTGTTTCACCTCAAGTTGGTAAGAGGAACAAGGATCCTGGGGTCTGGGCGAGGGGCAACATCTGATTCTGGTGCACGGGCCCTGCGTGGGGTGGGTCCCACCACCTCCCTTTCCCCTGGAAGAGACCTGTAGAAGGTTTTAAGAATGCCCCTGAAAAGGTAAAAGGCAAGTCGACTTGGGGTTCTCAGCCAGAGGCACTAAACCCCCCAGCAGGGCATTTGGAAATGGAGGCTGCTTTTTAAAAACTTAAATTGAATTACAATATACATACAGAAAAGTGTATGGATCACAGGCGCACTTTCATAAGGTGAACACACACACATGCAAACACTACCGGATCAAGAAATGGAACATTACCAGCCTCCCAGAAGCTCCCCTTCAGGCCTTCTTCCAGTCACCAAGCCTGGAGTAAGGGTGGGAGGGGGGCGGCATTTTTTGGTTGTCATAATGACTTAGGGGTTCTGCTGGCAATTAGTGGGAAGAGTCTAGGGGGGCTGGATGTGCTGCACTCTCTTGGGACAGTCCCGCAGCACAAAGAATCATCCTGCCCAAATGCCCTGTTGAGAAACACTGTGCCTGAGAGCTCTAGCACGGCCGCAGAGACTTGCCTTAGGCCTGGGAACAGCTGTGACTTTGGGTCAGCGTGAGGAGGGGTTTCACCGCCATGCATCCACACTGTTGCCTCCCCGCAGGCCTCCGGAACGCCCCCCGCTGCTGGGCAGTCATCCAGCCCCTGCTGTGCGCCGTGTACATGCCCAAATGCGAGAATGACCGGGTGGAGCTGCCCAGCCGCACCCTCTGCCAGGCTACCCGAGGGCCCTGTGCCATCGTGGAGAGGGAGCGCGGCTGGCCTGACTTCCTGCGCTGCACCCCTGACCACTTCCCCGAGGGCTGCCCGGTGAGTGCTTTGAGGGGCAAGCCCCAGGCCTAGGGCAGGGCCCCCACAGGAGGCAGGGGCAAGGGGAGCCCCACAGCCTTCTCTTGTGCAAGACCCCAAATCTGCAGCCATGGGGGTCAATGAGCCACACACCCAAACCGACGTTCCCTGGCTGGGCCTGTCTATTAGGGATTATCTATTTATAAAAGATAACTGTGTTCAACAAATATTTTTTGAGCACCTACTCTACTAGGTGTTGGGGGGTTTCCGGCATCATGGACGACAGGAACTCCTCCAAGAAGTTTATCATGTATTTAGGGAATCAAGGCACATAAAACAGCTAGAGATACCAAGACGGGGTGGGTGATCTCATTCTGGTGGTAAAGGAGAGGTCATAAGTAATAATAATAATTAACAGCAATGATATTGGCAATAATCCTAGTCGTTACTATTCACTACCTGCCAAATACCCTATGAGCACTTTACATCTATTTATTCATTTAACCCTTACACCACACCATGACGTAGCAACTGCTATCTTATAGCTGGGGAAACTGAGGGAACAGAGAGGTCAAAGAATGTGCCCCAGGCTATTGATATCATTTGTCACTGAGCTGCCAGGCTGGGATTCAAAAGCCGGAAGGCTGTCCCCAGCCTGTGCTTTTTGTCTTCGGTACCCCGCCACGCTACCCCCAGGCCTCGTATTCAACCCTGGGCGTCCTGCTCCCTTTTGCACTGCCTTCTCCCCTTCCCTTGTGCCAGAATGAGGTGCAGAACATCAAGTTCAACAGTTCGGGCCAGTGCGAGGCTCCCTTGGTTCGGACCGACAACCCCAAGAGCTGGTATGAGGACGTGGAGGGCTGTGGGATCCAGTGCCAGAACCCGCTGTTCACCGAGGCCGAGCACCAGGACATGCACGGCTACATCGCCGCCTTCGGGGCAGTCACGGGCCTCTGCACGCTCTTCACCCTGGTCAGCGGAGGGCAGGCCTGCAGGCGGGGCGGGCCCGGGGAGCCGTGGGAAGGAAGTGGATTGTCAGTCGGCTGGGCTCTGGGGGCGGAGGGAAGTGGGGAGGGGATGACCTGGTCGGGTCCCGGGGGTCAGACAAGGGCCCCTGTGGCAGCAGCATCACCCTGATCTCATAGAACGGCCCTCCCTTCTCCCTTCCAGGCCACATTTGTGGCTGACTGGCGGAACTCGAATCGCTACCCTGCTGTCATTCTCTTCTACGTCAATGCGTGTTTCTTTGTGGGGAGCATTGGCTGGCTGGCCCAGTTCATGGACGGCGCCCGCCGGGAGATCGTCTGCCGTGCAGATGGCACCATGAGGCTTGGGGAGCCCACGTAGGTGTCTTGGGGACCCAGAGGTGAGGGTGAGGGGCAGAAGGCTGAAATGTGGGTTTCCCACGGAAGGGACAAGTTGGGCTTGAAAGTGAGATTTCAGTGGGGGATTCAGCCCTGCCTGTGGTGCCCAAAGATTCCCGCGTGAGGCTGTGATTGTTTGCATCTGCTCCAAGGGGCATCTTCCACACCCTCTTCGAATCTCACCTGGGTCCTGTCTTCAAGCCCTGACTCCTAGGGAACCTCCAGACCTTAGAAGCTGAGGGTCTGGGGAGAGGGTGGAGAGAGCTGATAAAAGGAGTACAGAATGACCTCCCCAAGTGACCCCTCACGTGTCCGCACAGCTCCAACGAGACCCTGTCCTGCGTCATCATCTTTGTCATCGTGTACTACGCCCTGATGGCCGGTGTCGTCTGGTTTGTGGTCCTCACCTATGCCTGGCACACCTCCTTCAAAGCTCTGGGCACCACCTACCAGCCTCTCTCCGGCAAGACCTCCTACTTCCACCTGCTCACGTGGTCACTCCCCTTTGTCCTCACCGTGGCAATCCTTGCCGTGGCCCAGGTATGGTGACTGGTAGGGGGCTGGGGACCTAAGCGTAAGGGGGCCGGTGACCCACTCTGTCCCTCCCACCCACCCCTTCCTGCCGCAGGTGGATGGGGACTCCGTGAGCGGCATCTGTTTTGTTGGCTACAAGAACTACCGATACCGGGCGGGCTTCGTCCTGGCCCCGATTGGCCTGGTGCTCATTGTGGGAGGTTACTTCCTCATCCGAGGTGAGTGAGCACTGGGCCAGCACCAGCCAGGCAACGACATGCGGGGAGCACCTGCTCTGCGGAAGTAGGAGCGGGGAGCTGCCGGCTCACCCAGGGCCTCGGTGCTGAGCGCCAGGTGCCCCCTCGAGGCAGACAGAGTATCACGGCACTTGGTGTGGGGCAGCACCTTTGTGCTGGCCAGAGAAATGCAGCCCCTTTCTCCAGGGCCTTGGGCCAGGGCTCACACAGCCTGTTGAACAGATCCTGAGCTGGGGTCCAGCCTCTGCCCAGCCCTGGGCCAGCAGCGCTCACGTGGTGAATAGCCTGCCCTGTCCCCGTGGGCCAGCACAGGGCCTCCAGTCATGTGTGTGCACCCTGAATTTCTGTCTGCTCGCCATCTCTTGGAGCCTGGCTCCTCATCCGCTTCCTACCCACAACAGTTTCCACAACATGCACAGATTTGCTGTTCCCTCATTTCCCATCTGAAACCGCCTCCTCCACAGTAAGCCTCCGTCTCTTCTTAGCTCATTCTTGTTGCATTCTCTTTGTAAACTTCAGCTTCCTCCCCCGGTGCTGTCAGCCTTCTGTTCAGCCCACCTCTTGTTGGCAGTCTCTGGGCCTCTGATTTCTGTTTTGTATCTCTGCTGTCCTGTACAGTGGCCACCAGCCACATGTGTTGAAACTCGTCCAGACTGGGATGTGCCCTAAGTATAAAATCCGCGCTGTATTGCAAATGCTTAGCACAAAGAAAGCAGACTATCTCATGAATAGTTTGCTATATGGATTCCATGCTGAAATGTCAATTAAATAAACAATGACGTATTGTTTATGAAATGTATGGAAATTAGCTTCACTTGCAGCTTTTTACTTTTTTAATGTGGCTGCCAGAAGAGCTGAGATTATGTATGTGGGGCTGACGTTGTCTTCCTGTTGGATAGCACTGTTCTTGCGTCTCTTCCTATGCCTTTTCCATCAGCACAGCGTTGACCTGGCTGCCTTCCTTAGGCGTGGCTGGAGCCAGGACCAAGGCACGTTCTCTGTCTTCGTGACGTCCGTTCTGGGCTCTGCCCCGGGCTTGCCGATGCACAGCACATCTGCTAAGAGTGGTGCTCCCTTTCTCCCGCGTCTCCAGTTCCCCGAGCTTTAAATCATCGGAGTAATCAGACTGGGGACCCCCTGCCACACCCATCCCTCCCGGGAGAGTGGCCTCGCCCCACTAATGTCTGCAGTCTCTCTTCTGTTCAGGAGTCATGACTCTGTTTTCCATCAAGAGCAACCATCCGGGGTTGCTGAGCGAGAAGGCTGCCAGCAAGATCAATGAGACCATGCTGCGCCTGGGTGAGTGGACCCCAGGCTTTTGGCCAGTCCAACACTGGACCCCCCTGGGGCTGTGGGACCTGCAGGATAGGGTCTGGGAGGACGCAGTGTCAGCGGTGCAAATTAGCAGCCAGGGGGACAAGACAAGGCTTTGGGGTGCACGCACACGTGCGCACCTATTGCCTGTTGATGGCGGTAGCAGCTCAAAAGAAGGGGACCTTTTTGGACAGAAGAATTCAAGTTCATGCCAAGACTGCTTCCTCATGCCCACTGATCCACAGTTGGCTCAAGTGCCCTTCGGGCCTTATTTTGGAGAACACAGCAAACTGAGCCTGGCATGGATTCACCCCAGACTCAGCTATCTTTTAGGCCTGAGTGGGGCAAATACCTTGTCCCCACTGCTGCTCCCACACCTGGGATTCGTAATGCTCTGTCCCACCCTGGCCTTCCACAGGCATTTTTGGCTTCCTGGCCTTTGGCTTCGTGCTCATCACCTTCAGCTGCCATTTCTACGACTTCTTCAACCAGGCTGAGTGGGAGCGCAGCTTCCGGGACTATGTGTTGTGAGTGCAGGGCTGGGGGCTGGGGGGCAGCTGCCCCAGGAGCTGGAGCCAGGACTGAGATGTGCCCTAAGTATAAAATTCTTGCCCCTCAGCAAGGGTCTGCCAGGTCCCTGCCTCCGATGGCAGGTGAAACTGCCCATCTTGCTCCGGGCGCCCAAGACGTCATTTGCTCTGTAATTTGCAAACACGGCAGACAGCTCTCCCAGCCTGGCTCAACTCTGCCCTCCTCTCTGCACGAGCCGCCGTCTGGCTGGTGTGTTTGTAACGGTAAAGCCCTCTCATGTGTGGGCTTCTCTGACGACCCTGTGCTGGCCGCTCTAATTCTCATGTACTCTCCCAGAGCTTATTAGAGAGCCCTGCGCGGAAGTAGTCTCTACGATAGGTTAACAACCTGTTAATACTTGCTAGCTTTGTCTGTGCCTTTTTGTGTCACCGTGAGGATGAATCTGAGAGGAAGGCAGCTCACCCGCTGAAAACACTTGCTAATGGCAGGAACAGCAGTTACAGGGCTCATTAAAATGGACACCAGTCCGTGTCCTGACTGCCTCCGGCTCTTCCTTAAAGGCTCCAGCTTCCAGTCTTTAAACCACACTGATGCCGGGTCCTCCCCCAGAGATTTGATTTAATTGTCTGGGGTGTGACCCAGACACCAGTAGTTATTACAAGTAACTCTAATGTCCCAAGTGGCTCTAACGAGCACCCAGGGTTGTGAATCATTGTGTGGGGCTTAGCTGTTTTTGGAGTCTTTGGATTGATTGTCTGGGTACCACTCAAGAGACCCAGAAAGCCTCACCGGTCTGCTACCCCACCCCCACCCCCACCATAGGTGCCAGGCCAATGTGACCATCGGGCTGCCCACCAAGAAGCCCATCCCCGACTGTGAAATCAAGAATCGCCCTAGCCTCCTGGTGGAGAAGATCAACCTGTTTGCCATGTTTGGAACTGGCATTGCCATGAGCACCTGGGTCTGGACCAAGGCCACGCTGCTCATCTGGAGGCGCACCTGGTGCAGGTGGGTCAGCAGCCAGCTGCTTCTGACCTTGCGGCCTTACTCTCTCAGGCTTGGTGTCCCTGCCAATAGATGTGGGCTCCATGGTCTCCCAGCAGTCTTGGGCAGGCTAGTTTTCTAAGGGTCTATGCTGAGCTGTCTAAGGCCGCCTTCTATGTGGCTCACCACTGCCCCCTGGTGACACCTCCTGTCCTTGGGAGGATGGGTCAAGTGCAGAGCCATCTTCTAAGAGTGGAATGATCTGAATGATTTGAGTACTGGGCATACAGGAGCCCTGAATTCTAGGCCCACTTCTTTGCAGAGGTCTCTATTCCTCAGAGTCCTTGAGGGATTTGGGGCCCTCCGGAGGCTGCTTCCCTGGAAGGAATGGCTTCACTGCTCTTTCCGAAGATTTGGTGGGAAGTAGCTGCTCCTCCACTTCCCCTCCCCCACCTTTTCTGCTCTCAGGTTGACTGGGCAGAGTGATGATGAGCCCAAACGCATCAAGAAGAGCAAAATGATCGCCAAGGCCTTCTCCAAGCGGCGTGAGCTGCTGCAGAACCCAGGCCAGGAACTCTCCTTCAGCATGCACACTGTCTCCCACGATGGGCCTGTGGGTGAGCTTCAGGCCCCTTTCCTCCACGGGAGCCACTCAACACCCACAGTCCCTGGGCCCCACCCCCCTAGGCTGGTGTGGACACCTGGACTGTCCAGAAGGCTGGGAGGAATAAAGCACCCCGGCCTCTCCTCACACACTCAACTCTCTCCAGTCCCCCTCCCATCCCTGGCTACTCTGCCCTCTGTTTCTGCCCCTGGGTCCGCTTGCTGGTACCTTGGTTTCCAAAGGACTCATCTCCCTCTCCCTTCTTCTGTCTTCTCCAGTTGCTCTCCCTGGGTTAGAGTAAGTCAGGGTTCCAGGAACTGGATTTCTGGCCTCTAGTGAGGCCCCACTCTTCAGACGGACTGGGTAGATCACTGTGATTACCTGGGTGGGCTTTCTGGGCTCGGTGAATGGGGAGGGAGCTGCTGGGAGAAGGTAAATGTGCTGAGTCAGGGAGGAGCCATCATCCAAGGCAGTCATGATTCCTTAACCTTGCCTTCCATCCCCACAGCGGGTTTGGCCTTTGACCTCAATGAGCCCTCCGCCGACGTGTCCTCTGCCTGGGCCCAGCATGTCACGAAGATGGTGGCTCGGAGAGGAGCCATTCTGCCCCAGGATGTGTCTGTCACCCCTGTGGCAACTCCAGGTACGAGGGGTCAGGCCTCTGTAGGAAGGTGGGGGGCATGGAGATGGGGGTTCTTGGGACTGGAGCACCAGCAGCCACCAGAGGGGAGGAGGAAGGAAAGGCCCTGGAGGGTCTAGAGTATGGGGCTGAGGCACTAGAGCCCTAGAGTTGTGGGTCACAGAGCTCAAAAATAGGGGTCCGAGGAGAGATCAGGTGATGTGGACAGAGCCAGCCTCCCAAGCTCACGTTCTCTCTCCTGCCGTCAGTGCCCCCGGAGGAAAAAGCCAACCTGTGGCTGGTTGAGGCAGAGATCTCCCCAGAGCTGGAGAAGCGCCTGGGCCGGAAGAAGAAGCGGAGGAAGAGGAAGAAGGAGGTGTGCCCCCTGGTGCCACCCCCTGAGCTTCACCACCCCGCCCCTGCCCCTGCAGCCAGCGCTGTTCCTCGCCTGCCTCAGCTGCCCCGGCAGAAGTGCTTGGTGGCCGCAGGTGCCTGGGGAGCTGGGGAATCCTGCCGACAGAGAGCCTGGACCCTGGTCTCCAACCCTTTCTGCCCAGAGCCCAGTCCCCTACAGGATCCATTTCTGCCCAGTGCCCCAGTTCCCACGGCCTGGGCTCAGGGCTGCCGGCAGGGCCTGGGGCCCATTCACTCCCGCACCAACCTGATGGAGGCAGAGCTCATGGACGCAGATTCAGACTTCTGAGCCTGGAGAGCGGGACCTGGGCTAGGAAAGAGGAGCAAAGACCATTCTGAGGTTCCTCATCCTCCCCGAGAGTGCTTCCCCGGGATCTCGTCTTCCGGAGAACCTGAGGGTGCAGTGCCCTCCTGGGAGGGCTCTCTATGTCTGGCTCATGGCAGCGGGACTGTGGGAAAGGGCCCTGACATCTCCACGGGTAGGCCTCATCCAGGGAAGGGCCCTGGAGCTCGGGGTCCTTGTTTCTGCCCTGCCAGCTGGAGTCTGGCTGGCAGTATCCATCTGCAGCAGGGTCATGGGATAGGCAGAGCTTGAGGGGGGACAGTAACGGTAGAAGCAGGGGTGACAGTACCCAGAGTGGGCTGTGGTTGCCAATGAGGCAGTCAAAGCCCGGGCCTGGCAGATGAGGGCTGGCTGCCCTTTTCTGGCTCGCTCAGACCAAATGTGTTTATTGGGTCACTAGCCCTTTGTCTAAATGGAGACAGGGCTCCCTTTTCCTTCTTCCAGATGGTTGTGGAGCTGGAAGTGCTCATTCTCATAGGGGCTATAACCTCTCTTCACAGGCGTCCAGGTGGCCCGACCCCAGGCCAGTAACCCATCCTGTGCGCTCCTGCAGCCTCCTTCCCCCTTTCCCATCTCAGTTCAACCAGGCCAACCTCTTCCTGTGTCCTGTTTGTTGATTAGGCCCCAGAACTGCTGCATGCTCCGCCCCACTCCCACCCCCCTCCCCTCTGAGGCTGGGCTCCATCTCCAGGTGAGAGATGGGTTCGGCTGTGGAGCCTGGCGTGGTGTAGAAGCAGTGAGTGACGGGGAGCCTCTGGGCCCCTGAGAGACACGTGTTATCTCTTCCTCCCATCCATCCAGTGGGGGATGGACCCTCTGACTTGAGGGGCTACCCTGGGAGGCTGCTGGAGCTTCAGCCAGGCAGGAAAGCTACCTTCAACTTCCACAACTGGGGGGTGAGGAGATTCCCACCTCTCATAACCCCTAACTCTGTCCCCGAGGCCCCAGTTTCAAGAACCAGACAGCAGGAAGCCTTAGGAGCTGGCTGGGTTCCAGAATGGGGATAAGGATGGGGAGAAGGAATACAAGCAGTAAATAAAAGGTTTTTGTATAAACTCTTGATGTGCTGCTTTTTCACGGGCCCTGGTCTTGGGAGGGGCGCCTGACTGGCTCAGTCAGTGGAGCATGGGACTCTTCATCTCCGGGTCGAGAGTCTGAGCCCCACGTTGGCCATAGAGATTCCTTAATAAAATAAAGTAAAGTAAAATCCATAGGCCCTGGTCTTGACCTGTTTACCTGGTCCTGATCGCGTTTGTGTCCCACTTCCTCTCAGGCTATTCTGGAAGGCCCGCCGCTTGGTGCTATTGAGATCACAACCGACAGATGTCAGGCTGATGTCAGCTTAATGTGCTGGCTGGCCTTCCCGGCCAGTTGGCTCCATGGGGACAAAAACTCTCCTGCGGCCATAGCTGCCTCACTGTGGTTGCCTCTGCAGGGACGATTGGAAGCAAGGGGCCCCCGTCTAGTGTAGGTGAGCCCGGCTCCGGTGGCAATCCTGGGCCCCACCTCTGGGGGCCTCTTCCTTCTAAAAGGGGTGTCAGGAGGACCAGTGCTTTCTGATCCATAGCTGGGCAGTCAAAGGAATTCAGACTTCCCCAAGGAAAGCCTGTTAGCCCCACTTCCTCCAAAAAGAGGTCAGTAGAAGATTGGGCTGTGGGTTGCAAGGACTCCGGATCATGTGGAAAGGATCTGTGGAGGAAACGGGGGGTGATAGCCGCAGACTGGGAAGGTATTGTGGAGTACTGACCGGGTTTGTTTATGTGATGGGGACATAAGCATTTTGCCCAGAGCTAGATTCCAGGGGAAAAAGGAATTCACATCCCGAGCTGATCATATTCTAAGTACATTACACACAAATGATTATAATCACAGCTAGCTTGCTAGGCTCTTTTCTAAGCACTTCACATACGTTAATTCACCGACTCTCACCACAGATCTGTGAGGCACAGAGAGGTTTGATAGTTCACCTGAGGCCACACAGTAAGTGGTCATGCTGGGATTCTCCCAGGGTATCTGGCTCCAGAGTGGGCTCTTGGCCACTGTGTTTGACTGCTTCTGGTTTAATTCAGAGGGATCAGAGGAGCTAGTTTTTTGAAGAAATAAGTTCAGCAAAGCAAAAGGACTTACGCACAACCTCACAGCTCGTATGTGACAGACCCTGGACCCAGGGTCTTCCTAACTACCAAGTCCAAACTCTCCAGTCTCAGCTCTGACTCTGGATTTTTCCTCCCCTCCAGGTTTCCTGGGCTCGGTTCCCTGTGGCCTCCCTGCACCCCTTGGTGCTTGCTTACCTCACTCATCCTTGCCATTAGTGCCTCTCTCAGCAGGGATATAGCTATTTTTAACCTTTATCAACAATCAACTGTATTCAAAACAGTAAAATGTATCAGTGTGGTCTAATGATCTTTTCTGAAATAAGGGAAAATGTTAACAATATTCTTTCTTTTCACCTTCGCGGACATTCCCTCCATCCCTTCTTTCTTTAATGGGAAACACAGGATGAGGAATGGGACCATAGGGGGAGTTGACTGCGGGCTTTATTTTTTTTTAAAGGTTTTATTTACTTATTTATTTGACAGAAGGAGACACATCGAGAGAGGGAACACAAGCAGGGGGAGTGGGAGAGGGAGAAGCAGGCTTCCTGCGGAGCAGGGAGCCCGATGCCAATGCCGTGCTTGATCCCAGGACCCTGGGATCGTGACCTGAGCCAAAGGCAGACGCTTAATGACTGAGCCACCCAGGCACCCTAGACTGTGGGCTTTAAAAGCTCAGAAATGTTACCTTTCTCTCTCTGGTCGTGGAGGCTGACATAGAGTCTATAACCACGAGAGGGCACCGTGAGCCCACTTTTTGTGAATGCTTACATTAGGCGGCAGAGAGAGGTCCAGGACCGTGACATTCCGGCAACCAAGAGATCTTGCAGTATTTTTTTTTTTTTTTTTTTTTTTACAGGAGCACCAGCTCTCATGACTGACTCACAGTGGTCACTTTTCTACCAAAGCTCCTGAACTAGATCCCTGGAAGAGCTACCTCGGGGTCCAAAAGGAGCTTGGTTTGGGGGGCTCCCTGTGGCCTGGCTGTTGCCCTGAGAGCAGAGGTCTCCGAGCATTCAGGGCTGGGGCAGCTCCTCCCTCATCCGCTCCTTTGGGTCCCTTGCCACTCTCAGCTTAGTCGTCCATCCTCCTAGGTTGGGAGGCCTGCCTCTGTTGGTCCCAACTTCTTTTAAGCAGTCTGGCCACTGCCCCATCCCTTCCTCTGCCTGCGGGAGTTTCATTTTTGTTTTGTTTTGTTTTTTAACCTAAGAAATTGAAAAGCTATAGAAAAGCATAAGGAACACCCTAATAAACACCCAATTCCCACTACTCAGAATTAACTCTTTTTTTTTTAATCATTTTACCATATTTGCTTTCAGCTTTTTTTTTTTTTTTTTTTTAAAGAAAGTGTAACAGATTTAGCTAAAGTTCCCTGTGACCAATATCCCTGGTCCATTTTTCCTCCCAATTTCCCTCTTTGACAGAAAAACAACTCTTTCAGTTTAGGGGGTTGCCTTCCAGCCCATTATTATACGTTCATATGCAGCTAGGTATCCATAAACTGTTTATGTATTGCTTTTGCCTGCTTTTAAACTTTTTCTTTTCATCTAAGTTGCACAGGATAGAGTATGAAAAGTCAAATCATTCTACAGGTTTTGTTGATTAACACAGCTGTTTTGGGACCTGACTCCTACCAGATACCCCATCATTTCCTGTTCTTGGGAGTCAACCAGTTTATTTTGGACAATTTTTATATTTACTTCCCTATGTCTGAACAACATGATACTACCTCTTGAATGTTCATTTGAGGTGTTATCATTTGACTTTTCAATACAGGGGATCAGGATGTAGCTGTCTTTCAGTCTTTGCATACAGGGATAACAGAGGAGCAGGGGAAGGGGTCAATAGTAACAGCTTCCAAAGCTGGAGAGCAAATGAGGAGTGATAATTTAGCAGATTTGAAAGAGCAAAGTTTTAGCCAGCAATAGGGAAAACTTGCATTGCAGCATCCACAGAAGGCTCTGAATTAGAGGGAGCGGGTACTTCAGAAGACAGAAATGGAAACAGGAGGACCAGTCCCAGATCTCCTATCTAACTCTGAGCAGTCAGATGACAGCCCTTCTCACACCTGGCTGACTGTCCGATCATTCTCTAGGGAAGGCAAACAGAGGGTATTCAAAGGAATTATCTTCTAGCTTCCAGAACTAATTTTAACAAGTTCAATATCTTTCTGACTCCTGAGCTTTTGTAAAATTTTTATTCCTCGACCCACTCCAGACATTTAAAGATTGTCTCTTTGTCCCCAGAATTTTGAAAATTTACAATGATGTATATTAATGTAGGTCTATTTTCATCTGTTGGGCTGGGTACCTAATGACCCCTTTCATTGTGGAAATTCTCATCTTTCAGTTTTGGGAAATTTTAAAAATTATTTCTTTGACTCACATCCCCCTCCACACACACACCTCATTTTCTCTGTTACCTCATTTTAGCACTCCTATTATTCAGATGTTGGACTTCTTGGACTGGTCCTCTAATTCATTTTATTTGTTTGTTTGTTTTTGAGTAATCTGTACACTCAGAGTGAGGCTTGTACTCATGACCCCAAGATCAAGAGTCACACACGCTTCTTTTTTTTTTTTTTTAAGATTTTATTTATTTATTTGAGAGAGAGAGAATGAGAGAGAGCACATGAGAGGGGGGAGGGTCAGAGGGAGAAGCAGACTCCCCACCGAGCAGGGAGCCCGATGTGGGACTCGATCCAGGGACTCCAGGATCATGACCTGAGCCGAAGGCAGTTGCTTAACCAACTGAGCCACCCAGGCGCCCTCCTATTATTCTTTTTTTTTTTTTTAAAGATTTTATTTATTTATTTGACAGAGAGAGACACAGTGAGAGAGGGAACACAAGCAGGGAGCGTGGGTGAGAGAGAAGCAGACTCCCCGCCGAGCAGGGAGCCCGATGCGGGACTTGATCCCGGGACTCCAGGATCATGACCTGAGCCGAAGGCAGTTGTTTAACCAACTGAGCCACCCAGGCACCCAAGAGTCACACACTCTTCTGACTGAGCCAGCCAGGAGCCTCTTCTTCTTCTTCTTCTTTTTTTAATTGAAAGAAAAAACTTATTGAAGATCTGGAAAACAATTCCTAAAAGACCAACTTTTCCAGAAAACTGTAGCTACACAATGCATTCCATCTATCATGTTAAAATGTGCATTAGACACAAATTTAAAAACCATGAAACAAGCCACCATTCTTCAACAATCTGAGCAAAGAGAAAATGCATCTTTCCTGGTTTTAATTTCTTTCTCTTTTTATTTATTGAGTTTTAAAAAATGTCTGCTACATGCTTTCATTTTAAAAGTCTCATGTTTGTTTTCTGACTGTTCGCTTCTTAAAATAGCATGTTCTTTCACAAATACAATATCTTAAGTCTCTGAGGATATTAATGATTTTTTGTTTTGTTTTGTTTTTGTCTTGATTTCTTCTCGATGCATAGTCTCTGTTTCCTCTAAGTTTTTAAATTTTTTTCTCCTTGCTTATGTTGACCTCTGTCTTTTGTATTAAAGGTTTTCTTCATATATCTGAGGACTCTCTATCTGCTCATACTTAAGAGTGTGACACTAAATGGTTATTTGGAAACGGTGAACATAGGTGTGGTCTTCACCAAGGGTGATCTGGCTGGCCCATTTCCTTGGGAGAACTCTCAATATTGATTATCTTCAAGTTTTTCCTCTTGGGTTGGTCAGATACCTCAGAAGTTCTTCCAGTTTCCCACACGGAACATACATTCCTGCTTGCCAGGGTGTGGCAGCTGAATAAGCCAAGTAGGGAAGAGCTGTAATCTAAATATTTCATAAACTGCCTGCCGTGGCTACTCCAGTCACAAGGGCCAGATGACAGCTCAGTCGGCAGTGAGAGGCCTACAGCATTTGCTTGTAGTTGCGATAAGTTTGTCCCTCAATCCCAAACCTTTCCTGAATGGATTAACAGGAAAGGCAGGGCGCCTGGGTGGCTCAGTT